TTTTTGACAGTCTTGCTCTGTCACCCAGGCTGGAGTGCAATGGCGCTATCTCAGCTCACTGCAACCTCCACCTTCCAGGTTCAAGCAATTCTCCAGTCTCCGGTCTCAGCCTCCCCAGTAGCTGGGACTACAGATGCCCACCACCACGCCTGGCTAAGTTTTGTGTTTTTAGTAGAGACGGGGTTTCACCATGTTGGTCAGGCTGTTCTCAAACTCCTAACATCAGGTGATCCATCCACCTCAGCTTCCCAAAGTGCTGGGATTACAGGCGTGAGCCACCACGCTCTGCAAGCTCTGGCATTTTCCATCACTTGATAGCTTGAAAATCCTGGCCTGCTGGCTGGGCCTGGTCCTGGAGGGCTGAGTTCTCACCAGTGCCCCTCAGAGGGGCCCAAGATCACTGCAGGTGCCTGCCCAGCCTTGCCTTCCTGGACGGCCCCTAAGGGGTGGTGGGAGCTAAAGAGTGATTCTTAACTGCACATTCTCACAGTGTTCGACTTTTCTTAACTTGTCCAATTTCTTGCCATTACTGGAGGTGAAACCCTGCCCTCCTCACCCTCCAGGACCACAGGGGCTTAACAACAGGGTGTGCAGACCACGTGAACTGGTTCCTGTTGCCCGCACTTTGCCTGTTCTTCCTCCCTCGTCACCCCTTCCTCCAGGAAGCCTTCTCTGATGACTTCACTGGTTTTTCGCATATGCACAAAGCTGTTCATCACCATTGCCTAATTCTAGAATGTTTTCATCACTCCAAAAAGAAACCCTGCACCCATTAACAGCCTCTCCCTATTCCTCCCTCCTGCAGGCCCTGGCAAGTACTTTTAATATCTATAAATATTGCCTATTTAGGACATTTCATAAAATTTAATCACACAGTATGTGGCCTTTTGTGGATGTTTTGTTTAGCATGTTTTCAAGGTCCATCCATGATGGTGTTGATTATAGCATTGTATCGATAGGCCAGATTTTATTTATCCCTTTATTTATAATGAATATTTGGGTTGTTTCTACTTTATGGCCATCATGAATAACGCTGCTCTGAAAATTCGCATGCTGGATTTTGTGTGAACATACATTTTCTATTCTCTTGGGTTTGTGTCTGGGAGTGGCATTGCTGGGTCACGTGGTAACTCTATGTTTAAGGTGTACAGAATGCCAAATTGTTTTCCAAAGTCTTTGCACCATTTTACATTCCCATCGGCAAGGTATGATGGTTCAGATTTCTCCACATAGTCACTTTCTTTTTTTTTTTTTTTTTGAGACCAGAGTTTCACTTTTGTTTCCAGGCTGGAGTACAATAGCACAATCTCAGCTCGCCGCAACCTCCGCCTCCCAGTTCCAGCGATTCTCCTGTTTCAGCTTATTTAGTAGCTGGGATTACAGGCATGCGCTACCACGCCTGGCTAATTTTGTATCTTTGGTAGAAACAGGGTTTTTTCATGTTGGTCAGGCTGGTCTCAAACTCCTGACCTCAGGTGATCCGCCTGCCTCAGCCTCCCAATGTGTTGGGATTACAGGTGTGAGCCATCACACCCAGCTGATAGTGTTTTTTTTTTGAGATGGAGTCTCGCTCTGTCGCCCAGGCTGGAGTGCAGTGGTGTGATCTTGGCTCACTGCAACCTCCGCCTGCCACGTTCAAGTGATTCTCCTGCCTCAGCCTCCCAAGTAGCTGAGACTACAGGTGTGTACCACCACGCCTGGCTAATTTTTGTATTTTTAGTAGAGACAGGGTTTCACCATATTGGCCAGGCTGGTCTCAAACTCCTGATCTGTGATCCGCCCACCTCGGCCTCCCAAAGTGCTGGGATTACAGGCATGAGCCACCGCAACCAGCCCTGTTTTTTACTTTTATTTTGAGACAAAGTCTTGCTCTGTCACCCAGGCTGGAGTGCAATGACACGATCTTGGTTCACTGCAACCTCTGTCTTCCAGATTCAAGCAATTCTCCTGCCTCAGCCTCCGGAGTAGCTGGGATTACAGGTGCCTGCCACTAGGCCCAGCTAATTGTTTGTATTTTGAGTAGAGACGGTGTTTCACCATGTTGGCCAGGGTGGTCTCGAACTCCTGACCTTGTGATTCACCTGCCTCAGCCTCCCAAAGTGCTGGGATTACAGGCGTGAGCCACCATCTATTTTTTTCTTTTGTCACTTGTGCTTTTGGTGTTATATCTAAGAAACCATTGCCAAATCCAAGGTTATGACATGCCTATGTTTTTTTTCCAAGAGTTTTACAATTGAGCTGTTAGATTTGGATCTTTGATATATTTTGAGTAGATTTTTATATATGTTGTGAGGCAAGGTGTGATTTGCTTCTTTGCATGTTATTACAGCACCATTTGTTGAAAAGGGTTTTCTTGGCCAGGCGTGGTGGCTCACACCTGTAATCCCAGCACTTTGGGAGGCTGAGGCAGGTAGATCACCTGAGGTCAGGAGTTCCAGACCAGCCTGGCCAACGTAGTGAAACCTCATCTCTATCAAAAACATAAAAATCAGTCAGGCATAGTGGTGCACACCTATAATCCCAGCTCCTCGGGAGGTCCTGAGGCCAGAGACTCACCGGGACCTTGAGGGGTGGAGGTAGCAGTGAGCTGAGATCGCTCTACTGCACTTGAGCCTGGGGCAACAAAGTGAGACTCCGTCTCAAAAAAAAAAAAAAAAAGTTATAGCTGATTTCTCATTGGAAAGGTGGAAGCCAGAAAACGACAGAGTAACATCTCTATTATACTGAAAAAGAAAAAAAAAAGCTAAATTTCTCAATCTAAAATTACATACCCAGCAAAAAAACTTTTAAAAGTAAATGCCCAGTAAATACTGTTTCAGATAAACCAAAAAAGCAGAATTTATTTTCAGCAGAACTACACTATAAAAATGTGAAGAGAAGCACTGCAGAACTCAAAAATAGAACGCCAAATGGAAATTGGGACCCTTACAAAGGAATGAAGTGTGTTGCAAATGGCAAATATGTGTAAACAGGAAAAAATTGATTTTCTCATTTTAAGAATATCTTTGAAAGTGAATTGACTGTTTAAACAAAAATAATAAAGTAGTATGAGGCTTAAAACATATTAGAGCAGTGGACAGTGTATTAAGAAGACGGGCCGGACACAGTGGCCTGTAATCCCGGCACTTTGGGAAGCCAAGGCAGGTGGATTGCTTGAGCTCAGGAGTTCAAGACCAGCCTGGGCAACATGACAAAACGCAGCCACTACAAAAAATTCAAAAAATTAGCTGGCATGGCATGGCGGCACGTGCCTGTAGTCCTAGCTACCTGGGAGGCTGAGGTGAAAGGGTTGATTGAGCCCAGGAGGTCGAGGCGGCAGCAGGCCAAGACCACAGGGCAAGACCCTGTCTCCAGAAAAAGAAACACACACAAAAGGCAGAGGATGGGATGGGAGACTTACACTGTAAGTGGAATGGTGTAATATCATCTGAAAATTGAAAATAGGCTGTATTATATTAAATACGTATGATGTAAAACTAGGGTCACCACAAATAAAAATACATATATATAAAATTTACATATATAATTTATAAAACATATGTATTATATAAATTATATATATATATATATATATATATATTTTTTTTTTTTTTTTTTTTTTTTTTTTTTTTTTGAGTTGAAGTCTCGCTCTGTCACCCAGGCTGGAGGTCAGTGGTGCAATCTCGGCACACTGCAACCTGTGTCTCCCAGTTCAAGCGATTCTCCTGCCTCAGCCTCCAGAGTAGCTAGGATTACAGTTGTGTGCCACCACGCTTGGCTAATTTTTGTGTTTTTAGTAGAGATGGGGTTTCACCATGTTGTCCAGGCTGGTCTCGAACTCCTGACCTTGTGATCCACCTGCCTCGGCCTCCCAAAATGCTGGGTTTATAGGTGTGAGCCACCCCGCCTGGCCACATCTAATATATTAATAGATGTGGGATATCTATTAATCCCACCGTGCCAAGCTAATTTTTGCATTTTTAATAGAGACAGGATTTTACCACATTGGCCAGGCTAGTCTTGAACTCCTGGGCTCAAGTGATCTGCCCACCTTAGCCTCCCAAAGTGCTGGGATTACAGGTGTGAGCCACCACACCTGGCCAAAATGTCTTTATGTGAATCTCTGTCTCAGAATAGCACAGTAAAAGACAGGATAACCCAGATGACGTGCTGGGCTTTTGTCAGTGATGTTTGTTAACTGAATTAGCATCCAGTCCAGGGCTTCAGGTTCTGCCGTCACAGCCAAGCCATCTCATACCTCTGGGACTTCCCGGTATGTCTTCCCTGTCTAGAATGCCCTTCTTTCTTTTGTCCTCTGGCAGGCTCCCACTCATCCCTCAAAACCCAGCTCTGAAGTTGCCTCCTGGGGAACAGGTCTTCCCTGTATCATAAACATTCCTTTCATGGAGTTCTCAAATACTGCACTATCATTTTATTATTGGCCCCCAGACTGCCTACCTCCTGAGGGCTGAGCCTGCCTCTCCCTGGACAGTGCTTGGGTCCTGTGTTTTCGCAGGGGTGTGGAGAGGACCAGCAGCTCTTCTCATGGTGATCACCCATCAAGCTCAGGTAAAAACTGTCACTTTCTGTTCTCTTTCCTCAGCCTCAAAGACAAAAATCAAGGCGAACTCATCCCCCCCGTGCTGAGGTTCACAGTGACGTACCTGAGAGAGAAAGGTGAGTCTGGGCCAGCTCCGGCTGGGTGACGTGAGAGCTGCTGGGTGCCCTTCCCTGGGTGGTTCGTCTTGGATCCTGAGCACCCCACAGGCCAGGAAGGGAGAGACTGAGGCACAGTGGCTCCAGGTCTGGGCTCTGGCTTCAGATGGTCTGGGTTTGAATCCTGTCTCCCCTGTTTACTAGCTGTGTGACCTGGGGCGTTACTCACCCTCTCTGGGCCTCCATTCCCTCCCCTGTCCTGTAGGGTCAATAACAAACAGCATGTGACTCTCAGGATTGTTATGAGATGTTGCCTGCAAAGCACTTCAGACGGCGCTAGTCTGTAGGAGGCCCTCTTGAAATGGGGGCCCCTCTGAAAGGATCAACTTTGATTTGTAGACGACATTGCCGGTGGGGCGGGTGCAGCCAGGAACTTGGAGTGGGGTGAGCCTTGTGGGCTCTCCACAGCTCCTGAGGCTAGAACTGAGGTCTGTGGAGAAGGTGCGTGGAGGCCGCGTTTACCCTAATTGGGGGAAAGAGGCTCCCATGGAGGAGCAGGCACCAGGGAGGCTTACCTGGGACCACCGGTGCAGGCGCGGTTGGTGAGCCTGGGTGCTGCAGCGCAGATGCGGGGGTGTCAGACAAGAAGTGAGAGTCACCGCTGCCAGGGCCCTGGTGGTCTGTTCTCTGTGTGCCCCAGAGATGGCGTGTTCTGATCACAGAATGTTCTATGAGACCCCACTGTAGCTGGGGGACTGTCATTGTGAGCGGTCTACTTTGACCAGATGTCATTATAGTATTTCCCATTCTGTCGTGCTTATGAGTGGCGTCCCTAAAGACCAAAAATCAGAAACTACATCAGGGAGTCTGTCTCTCCCTCTCTTTAAAAACGTATCAATTCCTTTGTTGTTATTTTTGAGATATCCCTCTGTCACCCAGGCTGGAGTGCAATGGCGTGGTCCCCACTCACTGCAACCCCCACCTCCCAGGTTCAAGCGATTCTTCTGCCTCAGCCTCCCGAGTAGTTAGGGTTACAGGCGTGCGCCACCAAGCCCAGCTATTTTTTTGTATTTTCTAGTAGAGATGGGGTTTCACCATGTTGACCAGGCTGGTTTTGAACTCCTGACCTCAGGTGATTGGCCCGCCTCAGCCTCCCATACTGCTGGGATTACAGGCACGAGTCACCACGCGCGGCCCACACAACACGAATTTATTATCTCCATTTCTGTGGATCAGAAGTCTGGGCACATGGGGGCCGGGTTCTCTGCTCAGGGTCTTACAGGCTGAACTGCAGGTGCTGGCCGGACTGGGCTTCCTCCTGGAGGCCGGAGGTTCTAGGGAAGAGTCCACGTCCAAGTTCGTTCAGATCAGTGGCCTGGTCTTGTTCTTGGCAGCTGTCATTGTGAAGTGCCCACTTCCTTGCCTGTCAGCCCGGGGCCTGGCTCAGCAGCTTCCGACCGCTGCTTTCCCTGCCACACCCGGCCCCTCTTCCTGCAGACCACAGCTCACGTGAATCCCCTCCCCGGCCTGCATTCTCTGTCACTGAACGAACATGGGTCCTTTTAAAACTCACCTGATGGAGGCTGGAGGGGAGTCAGCCCTGCCTGGGTGGTGGGGATTCGGCGGGGGCAAACCCCTGGCTGTAGAAGCCACAGGGTAAAAGTCGGGCCCATGCAAGATCATCTCCGTATCTTAAGGCCGACTGGCTTGGCCCTGAGTTAGTCTGCAAAGCCCCTTCACTGTAGTACCTAGCTTAGTGTTTGACTGACCAAAGTACGTGTTCCCCAGGGGCCAGGAGTCCAGGGGCCATCTCGGAATTCTGCCCACGGCAGTCACTCAGCAGAAAGGAGAGGGACCAGCCACCAGGCCACGTCTGGGCCAGGAAGGCGCATGGAGCCTCTGGGCCCTGGACGATGGGAGCGGAGACGTGGTGGGTGAAGTGAGGAGGCGGCCAGATGGTGCAAGGCTGTGGTGGCTGCGATGGGAAGCGCTGTCCTTTTCTATTTCCCAAAGCACATTCCCACGGAGCTCTATACTGTGGCAGGTGGCAGACACCGAAGGGCTCGATGCAGGGTGTGGCTGGTCAGAGATCGGCGTTCCCTGAGCTTCAGAAAGGAGACGAGGCTGAGGGACGGGTCTGAGGACGGGGAAAGATGACAGTGGCTTGCCTGGGGGGAGGGGAGTGCAGGCGGGGAGAGCGACAGCGTTGAAACCGTTTAACGGGCACCATCGCCTTATTTACCCTCGAGAGCAGGCCCACTCCGCCCTCAGCCTGCAGTGGACAGGCACGTGTTGAGACCTACCAAGTGCAGGCCCTGGGAGGAGACGCAAAGTCCAATTAAGGACACTCGGCGTTTCCTTTAGTAAACCTTGTAGGGAGTGATCACCTTTTCTTCCTGTCCCAGGTGGCCAAGGCCAGGCCTCAGGAAGTGCGGGAGTCCCCTTTGCAGCCGGTGTCCCAGCCCTGAGGCTTGGTCTGGCCCCTCCTGGGTCTTCCCCCTCCCCAGCCTGGGTGCCTTTACCTGTGGTTTCTCCAGCTAGGGTTTGGCACCCACCCCCATCCCCACCCCCCAGGCCAGGCTGGCTCCCCTCCAGCCCCTAGAGCTCAGCTCAATGGTTGCTTCCTCAGGGAATCTCCCCAGCGTGGCCAAACCCCCTAATGCAGACCCCAGCTCCACCACAGACCCTGCGCCGTGGGCCCCAGACCCCGCCACCCTGTGGTCCCTCGGCCGCTGCTCTTTCTCATGTTTCCATCTGGTGATGGAGCTGAGCTCTGAGGGTGGGGAGAGGCTGCCCATGCCAGGTGGCAGAAGGTCCCCAGAGAGGAGCTGCAGGTGCAGAGGCCCGTGGCCATGGGGGTGCATGAGCCTGCGGGGCCTGACGGAAGTGGGGAGGAGAAGGGGAGGTCACACCTTGCAAGTCCCAGGAAGACTTGGACCTCCAGATGCTTGCACCAGGTCCTAGGTGCTGGTGTTCCGGGGCACCCCCACCATCCACCGCAGGCTCCCCAGGGCAGGCTCAGGCTTGTTTCTCTTCCTGGCTCTAGAGCCAGAGGGGGTCTGGCCAGAGGAAACCCTTGCCTCCACCCCAGGCCTCAAGAGGCCGCATGGGCTGTTGCCTTCATGAACCAACAGAAGCGCTGAAAGCTCTCTGTATAAATTGACAATGGAGACAAGTTTTCTTCTTTGATACAATCAACTTTTTTTTTTTTTTTTTTTTTTTTTT